CTCAGAAGACACTCTGGGAAACACAGGTTCCTTGCATTTGTCCTGAAGTCGTCCTGTCACCTCCTTGGCCCTCCCTTCTGCTTATCCTGGTGGCATAGACTGACATTTTTTAAAGAAGCCTGCGTCTCCAAGTGGGCACTGACCAGGCCCGGCCCCTGGGCAGAGACCTGTGGACTGGCACAGGTCCTGCTGTCCTGCAAGCGCCACCTCCTCCCAAGGGGGTCCTCATCCTGGAAGCCACGAGGGACACCAGGAAGGGCATGATGTGTTCCCTGCCCCGCAAAACACACTTGCCAGAAGCAGGAAAGCCCACTAGACCCACCTTGGCCGCCTCGCCTCCCTGCATTTTAAGTGTGTTGTGGCAAACTGTGTCTTTTAGAGATGATTTTAAAGGAAGACGAGAAGGAGGGCAGGCTGCAGCCTCCAGAGACTAGGAGGCTTTCACAGGGAAGAGGAAGCACTGTTTGGTGTGACCTCAGAGGCTTGAATTATAGCAGTGGCTGGAACCTCAGAAGACACATTGCAGCTGAGATAAGGAAGGATTTTCTATGAGGTCTGTGTGAAGGAGAACCTGGCTGAGAAAAGCAGGGGTGAGTTCCCTGTCCCTGGAAGTATGTGAGTCCAGGTGGGATGAGGAGTCAAAGGGGGACATTGGGTGAGATGGCCCTTGAAGTAACCTCCATGGAGACCTCAGACAAGCAGGTAACCGCCAATGAGAGGTGAGAGTTTGAAGGGTGCCCCGGGAGGTCCCACCCAGAGTCGCTGTGATCATTTTGATCTGAAGCCTGGATGGGTGGACTGGGTCATGGTTGGGAGAGTCCAGCAGCAAATGGTTCCTCCTTCCCCGGGCTCCACCCACACGCTGCCTCAGGACCACCATATGTGCTGGGGTTTTGAGCCAAGAACAGCAGTGGCAAGAAAGGTGACCCTACTTTAAGCAAATTTGCTTTATGAAGAAAAAGTGGACTCTAGGACACTTTCACACGTGATTCCCCACGAGGAACCTTAACATCTCAGAATGTTAGTACCCGAGGAGAGCTTGAGAGATCACCCGGCCAGCCTCCTCCTTTTACAGATGGGAACTGTGAGGCTAGGGAAAGAGAAAAGCCCCCAGCAGCGCCAGCGACCACCCCCTCCTCGGGATGCAAACTCCTGCTCCTGGTCCAGGGGCTGACTTCTCCTGCACTCGGCTGTCTTATGCAGGGCAGTGTCCTTTCATACCCTCATCCTGGGATGTCTGGACCATCTCGTGTGTGGGTTTACAGGCAGGATGCATTTTGGCATCTTGGGCCCAAAGGAGTTCTACCATTAGAGAGAAATACTTTATGGGGGAAATTTTCCTGCCAGACAGGACATCCAGACCTGGCCGGGCAGAGGCAAGGTCTCCCAGGGGAGCCCTTCTTGGGGGGCATTTCTGTAGGGCAGCCTGGCGACAGGGGGCCGAGGATGTGGCTCCAAGCCTCCCTTCCTCCCATTGACCAGGTGACCCTTTGTGTCCCTTGATGCCCTGTGTTCTCATCTGTGAAATGGGAAGATAATCCCCACCTGGAGTGTTGTGAGGTGTGAGTAAGGTGAAGTGTTGGAACACCAGGCATATCGTATATACAAATGCCAATTTCAGCCGGGCTTGGTGGCTCAGTCTGTAATCCTGCACTTTGGGAGGCTGAGGTGAGTGAATTGCCTGAGCCCGCGGGTTCGAGACCTGCCTGGGCAACTTGGCGAGACCTTTACAATAAATTAAAAACTTGGCGAGGGCTCTACAATAAATTAAAAAATTAGCTGGGCATGGTAGCACGCGCCTGTAGTTCCAGCTACTTGGAAGGCTGAGGCGGAAGGATTGCTGGAGCCCAGTAGGTCGAGGCTGAGGTGGCCGGGAGCGGCCACTGCACTCCAGTCTGGGCGACAGAGTGAGACTCCAACTCAAAACAAACAAACAAACAAACAAAATGCCAATTTCCAGCTCAGCAGAGTTCAGAAGACAGATTCCAGTATCAGAGTACCTGGATTTGCTCCCTGGTTCTGGTACTTACTAGCTATATTATAGCCCCGTTCCAGTTACTTAAAACACTTTTGGTGTCAGTTTTCTCATCTGCAGTATGGAGATAATGATAGTATTAACTCACAGGGCTATGGTTCCCAAACAGTGTGTGTGCCAAGTCACCCTGAGGTGCCACAGGGGAGCTATGAGACATTTTTAACCTTCGGGGGAAACACAGTGATCCTGGGCAGCTGTCAAACACCATGCGACTATTAGCTCAAGGTAGCTCCCAGTTTCAACATGATATCACTCTGCTTTCCATTATTTGGTGCCATATCTTTGCAAAGCTGGGGTTTGGGCATTTGGGAATTCCCCATGACAGAATAAGGGTAGTGGTGTCCACTCGGATTCTAGGGTTTGAGAAGTGTGCGGTGCCCAACAGGTACACAAATCTCATTAGTAAGTTGTTGTGGCTATTTAGAATGGAATAAAAAGATTTCTTTCTCTTTCCATTTTATCCTAAGGTTTCAGGATATAAATATTTATGAAGCTATTTGGATCTAATTACTTAATAAATTCCTATTAGGAATTTCTTTTTGGCCTTGGGATACCATGAAAAAAAATTACTGAGACACTAAAGACCAAAATAATTCGAGCATCTGTGTCTAGGGCTATTGTGGGGCTCACTGAGTTCTTATGAATCACCCTCTGTGCAGTGCCAGGCAGAGTACGTTTCTGGGGACTCCGAGACCCCATCATTCTCCCTCTACCCTGGCATCCACAGGGCCCAGGAGAAGGGAGGGCAGGGGCCCACCTCAGCTCCACACAGGCCACATTCCCACACTCCTTTGTTTAATTGATGTTCTCTGTGCGCCTACTGTGTGCCGGCCAGCACAGGGTTCCCTTGCGGTGCCTCCGAGCAGGAATCTCGGGTCAGCCTTTGATTCTTCTCTGCCTCCAGGACATCTGGGGTGTGGGGACACAGCAAGGAGACAACAGCTGCATCCAGAGCCCTTGGTGCTCCGGCAACAGGCAGGCACTGATGGGACACCAGGCCCATGTTCGTGCTGGGGCCAGAGTTGCCTCTCTACACAAGGGCTGAGAGGAGGGCGGGGCTGGAAGGGTGGGGCTGCCGGACCAGAGCCCGAGGCGCTAATGGATGTCTAATGTTTGCTCTCCTCAGCCCGTCTGCGCCTGCTTTATAAATGAACTGCATTAGGGTTATAAAATAAAGTCATAAATACAGCCTGCAGTGCCACAGAGCGCCGGGGCAGCCATCACCTGGGAGCTGGGGAGCTAGAATTGGGGGTGGGCATGCGACAAGCACCCACGGGCCTCCATGACCCTTCTCTGTGGCCATCACCACCCTGAGAGAGGCAGCTTCCTTTGTAGAAAAGCTGCTCAGGGCCAGCGAGAGGCTGGTTTGGACCCAGGGTTGTCTGAGTCTGCAGCCTGGGATCTGCTTCTCACCCCTCGGGCTGGGACATGGGCAGGAGGCTGGTGGTGGGAGGCAGGCATGAAGCCTGGCAGGGAGGATGGTGGCCATCGCAGGACTGGAAAACAGTGTCCGGCTCCCTGGTCTGTGAACAAGTCACGTCACTGCTCCCAGACCCTAGGGCCTGCCGGTTTGCCTACAGAGAACGTGTCCTGGTGCCTGGCAGAGGGAAGCCCTGCCCTGGCCTTGGGAATCCTCACTGCCGCCAGGGCAGCTCTGGCAAGTCACCAGCCCATTTGGGGTGGTCTTGTTTCAGCTTTGAGATGAGGACAGTCCCAGCCTTGCCAGCCTCCTTGATGGGAGGGCTCCATAGACTGTAGAGTCCTGGCCAGTGTCAGGGTACTGCTAGGGCTTTCAGGTGTGGAGTCACCCACAGTGTCACTGAGTTGTGACACCAGTGATAGGCAGTGTGGCGTCTGGGGCACCATCCCAAACGCTGAAGCCTGTTTCTCAGGTTCAAACCTTGGCTCTGCCTCTTGCTGGTTGTGTGACCTTGGGCAGGTCGTTTAACCTCCCTGAGCCCCATTTACTCATCTATAAAATGAGGACTAAAAGAACGTACCTTATAGGGTTGTTGCAACATGAGTTAACTATGTAAAGTACTGAAAACACAGTGCCTGATGCTAGGTGGGCATGGATTGTTATTTTGATGCAACAACGTGTACCTACTGTGTGCCAGGCCTTTTATAGCCATTCGTGGTCCTCAAAGCAGCCCAGAGAGAGGGGAAGAGTGGTGACCTCCCTACCCTATTCAGAGACAAAGGGAAAAGGCAGGAGATACGGGCCTTCTCCCTGGGCCACACAGAACATGCTGGAAGGGGCAAGATTCACGAGTCTCTCTCTCTCAGGTCTCTCTCTCACACACACACACACAGCCCAGGGCCTAGAGCGCAGAGCCAGTGATAACTCATGCATCTTCGTCCTGTACTGCCCCTCCCTACCCCTGTCTTAGCAGGGTCCCTGGCCCACAAAGAGAAAACAATGGTCAGGCATGTTTTGCTCATTTTGCTCTTGGAAAACCGAGTGTCTCTTTGTCCCCTCTGTCAGGGGACCACCTAGGGCCAAGTGTGGCCCCCTGGACTAGAGAACGAGTGTGTGGTCCCACACCATCCAGGGGTCTCCAGCTGGAGGATCTGATCAGACCCGGCAGCCCCACCTCTGCCATCATCCATTGTCTCCTGAGCAGTTGCTGTGAGGGAAGATGAGCCCTCACAGCGTGTCCCCAGCCAGCTGATTGTTTGGCATTTGGCCCTGGAAACCCAACTTTCCTAAGTGGGTTGCAAACCAACCACCCGGCCTGGTTTCCCACCCCGCTGGGCTGGGCTGGCGGTGGCCACTCCCTCCCTTCCTGTTTGCCTCACCTCCTGAGGTGCTGTTCTTTCCAGGGAGACAGGCAGGCCAGGGTTTCCATCTGGCTCCCTTTGGGGGAGGAGATGGCCACAGGCACAGTCTTGCCATGTTCTCTGAAGTCTCCTCGTCTGTAGAGGCGAGGGCGTGGATTTGGCTGCAGCAGGAAAAGGCTGAGGGATGGCTCAGGGCCACAGACCAGGGGCGAGGTTTCGGGAGAAGGCCTCCTCCGTGGAGGTCTTGGGCTTCCTCGAGGCAGAGGCCTGCAGGAGATCCAGTACCAGGGAGCCTAGGCCCGGGATAGCCGGCCCACCCCCGCCACCTGCCCCAAAGGCCTGGCTCCTCTGCCTGCCCAGGTCAGCCTGGCTGGCCGGGTCTGTGAAGGACAGCTGAGGCTCCGGGAGAGACTGGCCTGGTTAAGCTCCACCCTCAACCCCGTTTCCAGCCCCGTGCCTATGGTGGCATCACCATGGGAAACTGAGGCGGACAGGGCCAGTGCAGGGGATGCTGGGGAGGGCCAGGGGGTTGTCTGATGGATTGCCTCCCCTGTCTGGGCCTCCCTGACTTCCCCATCCATGAAGAGGCGGAACCACACAGCATCACAGAGCAGGACCTGGCTCTGAGGCCCAGCCTCCTAAACTCAGGGCAGGATGGGAAACTGAGGCCTGAGGAGTGCCAGTGTGGCCCAGGTCACAGCATGCATGCAGGTCGCTGGCTGCCCAGCCTCGGCCTCCCCCGCCCTCTCCCTCTGCGGTGGGCCCCAGGGTGGGCCTCCCCACCACAGCCTCCCTGACGGCTCCACTCCTTCCACAGGCACTGACTCCGGCGGCGAGGTGCTCCCGGACTCCTTCCCGTCGGCGCCCGCAGAGCCGCTGCCCCACTTCCTGCAGGAGCCGCAGGACGCCTACATTGTCAAGAACAAGCCAGTGGAACTGAGCTGCCGCGCCTTCCCGGCCACGCAGATCTACTTCAAGTGCAACGGCGAGTGGGTCAGCCAGAGCGACCACGTCACGCAGGAGGGCCTGGACGAGGCCACCGGTGAGCCCGCCCGCCCAGGCACCCGGCACACCCCGGGCCCCAAGGGGATGCTGGGTCTGCACCTGCTCGGCCCTGGGCTCCGTGTGAGACTTCACACAGCCTCCATTTCCCCTCCGAGCTTCCCCCTGGATGAGAATTTCCCCACGTCCCGGCCTGACTGTGTGTGCCCACTGGCCACTTCCCTTCCATGTTTCCGCTGTGTCAGGGAACATTCCAGAGGCCAGCGAGGCTTCTCGAACTCTCCCCAGCCCCTGCTCATCTCCCCGTTTAACACGAGAACCAGGCCCAACCGCAGCCCCGGCACCCCCAACCCGACACTCGATGCTGTTATCTTTACAGCACTTTTTGTTGGTGGAGAGTCATAGGCTTTTCCGTTCCCAATCACAAGACGGCATTCTCCGTCCAGAAGGAAATTGTCGGAGGTTAAAAACAAAGACTGATCGTATTACGTCCACCATCGTGCCGGTGGCTAGGATGTGGCTCCGATTTGGAGGGAGGGCAGCGTGGTTGAAACTCAGGAAACGGGGTTGGGGGGCGGAGGAGTGCACAGGGTCCCTTCCTCCTGAGATGAGTCCTGGGTGCCACCGGGGCAGGAGGCAGGGCCCAGGGGCTCCTCGTGTCTCCCAGAGCCTAGGGGTGCCCCCGAGTCTAAGTGGGGACTCACCTGTCTCCAGGCCCCTGCGGACAGTGCTGGAGCCCTCGGTGTGAACAGCCCTTCCCGGTGCTGAGGACAGGGAGGTGGGACCCCACACACCTGGTCCCCTGGCAGACGGCCCCAGACTCAGGGGGCTCCTGTGCAGCCTTCCTGGTGTTTTGTTTTTCCCATCTCTTTCTTGGTTCCCTTCTCTTTTTTTCAGCCCTCTCTTGTCTCTCTCCTGACCCTCCTTTTCCCTCTCTCTCTCTGTCTCTCTCTTTCTCTGCCTGCTGCTCTGTCTCCCACTGTCCTTTCTTTTTCTCTCTCCATCTCCCTCTCTGCGTCTCTCCCCTGACAGCCTCCCTCTCACTATCCATCTTTCCCTCTTCTTCCATTTCTCTTTCATTATGGAAAGCTCCAAGATTTCAGAACCAGGCAGACTTAAAACCATACCCCAGACTGTCTGTATGACCCACCGAACTGTCGTCTTAAAAAGGGTTAAAATGGAAAGTTTTCTGTCATGTGTATTTTTACCACAATGGTAAAATAATTTGGGGGGTTTGTTTTTTAGATTCGGGGGGTACATATGTGTGTGTTCATTCCATGGGCATATTGTGTCGTGGTGGGGATTGGGTGTCCCAGGTGGCCCGTAGGCAGTTTCTGCACCCTAGCTTCCCTCCCCCCAGTATAATTTTTAAAAATAGATTCGGGTCCCATTCTCACCCAAAATACAAAAATGAATACAGGAATTTTTTAAAGGAGAGGGGAAAAAGAACACGTATTTGCCAGCTGCCCCCACTCTCTGGCTGTGTGACCTTGAGGAGGTCACACAACCTCTCTGAGCCCCAGTCCCTCTCTCTGTGAACCGGGATGGGAACAGAAGGCCCAGGTGAGGACAGAATGAGACGGTGCATGCATTGCACCGAGCCGGGTGCCAGGACCCAGCAGGCAGGTGGCAAATGCCCGCCTCCTCCGTCCTCTCTCTTGGCCTCTTTCTCTCATGACTGTCCCTCCTTCTCTGTGCCCTGAGCCCTATGGCCTGTACTGGAGGTCAGTCGCAGGGGTCCGGCCTTGTCCATGTGCAGGGCCCTCACAGGTCACTGCTCCTAGTCATCATCACCCTGGGTTGTTCCTGATGGCAGCAGCGTGGCTCCTGCCCTTCCACCAGGCACGCGGACCCTGCCAGCCCAAGAAACTGGGGCACAGTTGTCCCTGCCGGCTGTACACAATGGACAGTGCTCTCTGGGCAGCCATGGACCAGCCTCCAGCCGCAGCCCCCAGGCCCTCCCAAAGCCAAGAGGGGCGGAGAGGGGGACAGGCCACACCTCGCTGGTGGTGGTCTCCCCTGTCCCCTGCTGGAACCTTCTTGGAAAGATAATCTTCTTAGAAAGACTCACTCCTCCAGTTCACAGCCCGGTCAATAAGGAGCAGGGGCCCTGCCCTCTGGGCCACTCAGTATCAACCGTGTAGCTGGCCCCTGGCAGCCACTGCAGGCAGACACCAGCCACTCACCCTCTGGCAGCCTCTTCTCTCAGTGGCAAACCCCAGCCACCTCCTGTCTAGGTCCCTGGCCATCAGAAGGGGGCTGTCTGTCCTCCCTGTCTGATTCCCAGTGCAAGGACCTCCTCCAAGGCGGGGGACTGACAGCAGTGACTTCCTTGGGAGAGGACCACAGAGGCATCCCGGGTTAGGGGACAGAGCTGTCACCTGGGGGAGACACCAGAGAGCTGACTGCTTGCTGGGGAATTTTGTGCCTGCCACTTACCCTCTCTGGGCCTCAGTTTCCAAATGTAAAAGGAAGAGGCCAGAGGAAATCCAGACGACTTGCCAGAGTATATAAATTAGTGTCTGGCTCAGGCTGGGTACTGTGGCCGAGTGACTGCCTGGACTCACAGAGAGCTGACCCTGAGTGTTTAACGATAACGAGAGAACTGAGGCTCAGAGAAGCTAAGTAACTTAGCAAAGGCCACACAGCTGGGGAGTGAGGTAGGGCCAGGATTCAAGCCTGTCCAGCCATCAGACTGTGCTCTTAACCATCATGCCACCGTGCCATGATGTGTGCAGGCTTGCCCTCAAGGAACCTGATAGCCCTTGTGCATAAGAGGATGTGACAGGACACATTTAGGCAAGGAGGAACCGCTTTAGCAGTTCTGAGACGGGAGGCAGTCAGGGAGGCTTCCTGGAGGAGCAGGCCTCCACAGGCTTTGGGGAGGAGCATCAGGTGGGTTTCCTAATGCAGGCGGGTTCACTCCTTTCCTGCTCATAATGGTCATTTTGAGGGAAAGTTAACAGAAGACTAACTGTCCCCCCACCATGTAGGCCGGTGGATCCAGTTATCCAGATAGGCACCCCGGGGCCCTGACAGGGACCAGTGAGAGGTCATGGGGCTCCTAGGAAGAGGGCCCTCCCCCAGCCAGTCCCATGGGCTCCTGAGTGGTGACCAGGAGAGGCTAGCATCACACCTTTGCCACCCACTGAGCCCCCTTCTCTGTGCCAGACCCACAGCAGTGAGCAGGACAAAACCCCACCTGATTCTGCAGAAGATGAGCATTGAGCACATGAATACACCAATAAATAATCTAGATCCAGACAGACTCGGTGGCTCACACTTGTAATCCCAGCACTTGGGAGGCTGAGGCAGGAGGATCACATGAGCCCAGGAGTTGGAGTCTAGCCTGAGCAACATAGCGAGACCTCATCTCTATAAAAAATTAAAAATTAGCTGGGCATGGTGGCGCATGTCTGTAGTCCCAGCTACTTGGGAGACTGAGGTGGGACGATCACCGGAACCTAGGAGGTCAAGGTTATAGTGAGCTATGATCACCATGCCAGTGCACTTCAACCTGGGCAGCAGAGTGAGACTCTGTCTCTAATGATAATAATAATGATAATAGTAGCAAGCTAAGCCCGGATAATGATGGGTGCTGGGAGAAAATCAGGTTGGCGGGAGGTGCTGGCTGCACAAATGTCTGGTTCAGGGCACTGTGAGGGTAGGTGGGGAAGGGAGGTTTCCCTCTGGAAGTGGGGCCCAGCTGACAGTGCCTAGAAGGCCACTGGGCACAGAGGGTGCTGAGGAGAGTATTACCCAGGAGACTGCCGTGCAAAGGCCCTGTGGTTACAGAGCCAGACACATGAGGAACTAGAAGACACCCAGCGAGGCTGCAGTGCTGCAGGGAAAAGTAGGTACCCAGTGCAGCTGGGGGCCACTCAGGAGCCGACCCTACAGGCCCACAAGGCCATGTGTGGATAAAGGGTCTCATGCCAGGGAGGAGTGACACGCCATCGTGCATTCCGAAGAGGACGCTAGCCACCACGTGGAGGTTGGGTGGAAGGCAGCAGGGGGCTTGTGTGAGCCATCACCGTGTCCAGCGAGCGGCCTCGCGGCTTGGGCCAGGACGGAGGCAGAGACGAGAAGAGTCGTGGAATGAGAGGTCCCACAGGACTCCGGTGGAGGGGAGAGGTGACCCGCCTGGCGTCCTCCCACTGCTCCTGACGGCTCCCTCCTCCTCCCAGGCCTGCGGGTGCGCGAGGTACAGATTGAGGTGTCGCGGCAGCAGGTGGAAGAGCTCTTCGGGCTGGAGGACTACTGGTGCCAGTGCGTGGCCTGGAGCTCAGCGGGCACCACCAAGAGCCGCCGGGCCTACGTGCGCATCGCCTGTACGCCCCCCCGACCCCCACCCCGTCCCGCCTCCTTCCCCCTTCCCCAAGGAGGCTGGAACTCCACATCCCCGGGGGTTCCCTCTGTATCCCCGGCAGATGCTCACTGCAGAGACATCCAGTTACGTGGATGCAGGTCAAAAGAGGCTCCCTGAACCCAGAACCCTGGCCCCTCTGGCCCCAGGGGTTCCCAGGGCCCCTTTTCACCTTCCTCTCCCATCCTGGGCTGCTAAGTGCTTAGGACCCCAGAGCCAGGGAGGGAGCCCTGTCCCCCAAGCCCACCTAGTGAGACCTCTCTCTGGAGAAGAGGACATTTCCCAGGTAGAGGCCCGGTGGAGCCCTGTGAACAGTGCCGTTGGCCTGCACTGCCACCTAGTGACCACAGGGTGGTACTTCGGGTTCCAAACCTGGCCCGGGTTGACTGTCCTTGGATCCTCTCACCCTTCCCAGACTTGCGCAAGAACTTTGACCAGGAGCCTCTGGGCAAGGAGGTGCCCCTGGACCATGAGGTTCTCCTGCAGTGCCGCCCGCCGGAGGGGGTGCCTGTGGCCGAGGTGAGCGGGGATGCAGGGAACACGGGGCACGGTGGAGGCTGGGCAGGAGTGGTCTTCACCACCAGCCAAAATGCCAGCCACCCATTTTGCAGATAGGGAGATGGAGGCCTGGGGCAGAGAAGGGAGCTGCCACCTCTGCAGAACTCAGCACGGGCCAGATCCCAGCTGGGCCCTCCATAAGCGTGACCCCTCGGGATGGGGCCGAGCCAGGGCAGGAACCCTCACACCCCTCAGGGCTCCTTGGGAAGGCCCCCAGGCTCAGTTTCTATCCCCCCGCCCCACCCTGAACACGAGGCCCCAGCTTTATGGATGTCGAAGGGTCTCATAACACGTGTGTGTGAATGTGTTCTCCCCCCACGAGCTGTCACCCCTCCCTCCACCACATGGCCTCTGGGCCACTTGTCGCCTTGCCACCCTGGTGGTCCAGGAGCAAGAACCGGACACGGGGGGACATCTCAGCTTTGCCCCAGTGGGACAGGGGTTGGGGAAGACGTGACCCCGGACTGCCAGTCTCACAGCCCAAGCCCTCATCTGCGCTGTGGGCTCAGACAACACCCCGTGCGATGCCTGCCACTCACAGGGCTCCCAGGTGTGCCAGGCACCGGGCACGCTGGTCTGCAAGGTGGATGTCGTCATCCCATCCTGCGGCGAGGAGGCAGTGCTTGGGAGGGGCAGCCAGCGAGTGGCAGAGCTGGGATTTGAACCTAAGTCTGCCAGACCCAGGACCCTGGTTCCTGACTACCCGCAGGCCTCTTGCCCTCACTGGTGGAGCCCGTTTGAGGAGCTAATGATGGCAATAGTTACCTCTTGCAAATGACTAGTTAGTGAGTGGAACTGAACTTACTCTGAGCCAGGTCCTTTTCTGGGCACTTGTTGTGTCGCCTTCATGACAGTCCTGTAGAGTAGCTGCTCCATCTGACGGCTGATGAAATGGAGGCCCTGAGTGGTAAGTCAGTCCCCTCCCAAGGCCACCTGCTGGCAAATGGTGCTCCTAGCCACAGTACTGCGTAGCGTCTAGCACAGTGCCCGGTCCACGAAGGTCTCGCCTCAATGTCACCACCCCGGCGTGGGCCCAGACAGAGCTGCCATGCTTCTCTTGGTGGTTGGACCTGCCTTGGGCCCTAACTGTCCCCAACCCGCACCCACAGGTGGAATGGCTCAAGAACGAGGATGTCATCGACCCCACCCGAGACACCAACTTCCTGCTCACCATCGACCACAACCTCATCATCCGCCAGGCCCGCCTGTTGGACACGGCCAACTACACCTGCGTGGCCAAGAACATCGTGGCCAAGCGCCGGAGCACCACAGCCACGGTCATCGTCTATGGTGCGGGCCTCTCACAGTGGGGGGTGGGGGTGGAGGGGACAGAGAGCCTGGGGCTTGTACCCCGGACTCTACCTTATCCAGGAGGCTCACAGGAGACTGGTCAGGTGGGGAGGCTGCGGCCCAGAGAGGAGGTAAATTGACCGAGACCACAATAGCAAATTTCATGGCCAAGGCAGGCGTTCCTGGGGTCCCAGCCAGGTGCACGCCCCACCTCTCAAGACCTCCTGCCTGCCTCTGAAGGAGACCCAGTTCCCTCCAAGTCTGGCGGGGAGGTGAGGCCCCATACCATACCCGCTGTCCTCGCGAGGTTAGGGACAGATGTCCAGGCCTGTAAATTGTTCTCTGCTGTCCCCTCGGGCCCCACAGGCGGGAGAGGCAGGGCCACACCTGAAGTGACTCCAGAGAGGTGTAGAAAGAGCCCTGTGCTGGTTTCTAGCTCCAGTCCAGCCCAGACCCCCATCAGTCCCTGGGGGGACCTCAAGTCCCCAGCCCTGAGGGCCACAGGGGTCTAACTGGGGCAGGCTGGACCTCAGCAGTGAGTCCTTGCCAGGGATGAGGGAAAGGCTTGGGGGAGGCCAGCCAGGTGATGGCTGCCGCCCCGCAGTGAACGGTGGCTGGTCCAGCTGGGCAGAGTGGTCACCCTGCTCCAACCGCTGTGGCCGAGGCTGGCAGAAGCGTACCCGGACCTGCACCAACCCTGCCCCACTCAATGGAGGTGCCTTCTGCGAGGGCCAGGCCTTCCAGAAGACCGCCTGTACCACCGTGTGCCCAGGTAAGGGCCACTGGCCATGTGGCACCCTGCCCGCCCCCAGGCTCACCTTCCACCCCACACTGCCTTCTGTGATCTGTCCCAGCACCAGGACAGGCATTATTCCCCCCAACTTGGGGAGCAAAGGTGCTTGTCAGGGACCCACAGCTGATGCTCAGGCTAGACAAGATGTTCTAACCTCCTGTTCTGCCCCGGGCTGCTGGTGACATGGAGGCAGAGGCTCTGAGCAGCAGTCTGAGCGGTGGCTCTGCTCCCTGACCCTCTAATCAAGGCCCTTCTGTCTTCCCAGCTGGGGATTCTCCGTGTCAGCCCCAGGCCAGGGTCCCACAGCTGCCCGGGGTCAGGAAGACTCTCCTGTACTTTAATGTTAAGACACACCTTGGGCCAAGCACGGTGACTCACGCCTATAATCCCAGCACTGTGGGAGGCCAAGGTGAGAGGATCACTTGAGCCCAGGAGTTTGAGATCAGCCTGGGCAACATAGTGAGACCTTGTCTCTACAGATAATACAAAAATTAAGCCGGGCTTGGTGGCTCAGCCTGTAATCCCGTGCTTTGAGAGGCTGAGGTGAGTGGATTGCCTGAGCTCGCGGGTTCGAGACCCGCCTGGGCAACTTGGCGAGACCTCATCTCTACAATAAATAAAAACATCAGCCAAATAAAAACATCAGCCAGGCATGGTAGCGCATGCCTGTAATTCTGGCTACTTGAAAGGCTGAGGTAGAAGGATTGCCGGAGCCCAGCAGGTCGAGGCTGCAGTGGCCGGGAGCGGCCACTACACTCCAGTCTGGGTGACAGAATGAGACTCCAACTCAAAAAAAAAAAAAAAATACAAAAATTAGCTGGATGTGGTGGTGTGCACCTGTAGTCCCAGCTGCTGGGGTGCCTGATGTGGGAGGATAACCTGAGCCTAGGAAGTCGAGGCTGCAGTGAGCTGTGATCCTGTCACACCCTCCAGCCTTGGTGATAAAGTAAGACTCCAACTCAGCCTGTAATCCCGCGCCTTGGGAGGCTGAGGTGAGTGGATTGCCTGAGCCCGTGGGTTCGAGACCCGCCTGGGCAACTTGGTGAGACCTCATCTCTACAATAAATCAAAAATTAGCTGGGTGTGGTAGCGTGCGTCTGTAGTTCCAGTTACTTGGAAGGCTGAGGCGGAAGGATCACCGGAGCCCAGCAGGTCGAGGCTGCGGTGGCCGGGAGTGGCCACTGCACTCCAGTCTGGGTGACAGAGTGAGACTCCAACTCAAATAAATAAATAAATAAATAAATAAATAAATAAATAAATAAAAAGAGGCCTGGGCAGAGCCCTACTCCTGATGTCCTCTCCCTTTTGTCTTCCCCCCACCCTCCATGTGCCCCTCTGCTGATCTGCCCCTGCCCATCCACCGTGTCCCCTCCCTTTGTGTGCTTGTGTGGACGTGGTGGGGTTTTGCCCTGGGTCTGTGCCCTTGTGTGTACAAATGTGCCCTGGGCTGTCTCTGTGTCTGTGACCATGTGCGCCTTGTCAGTGAACTCACTGTCTGCCCAGTGCTGTGTGGATGTGGCGTGTTCACCTCCGTGTGGCACACGTGTGCTTTGGGTTCCTCCCTCCCTGGCCGGTGTGCATGTGTGTTTGCACGTGTGCATGTTGGTCCATTGCCGTGTTCTGCCCACATGACCACGTGTGCGCACGGCTGTCATGTGTGTGTTCCCACATGTCATGTTCCTGCAGTCGACGGGGCTTGGACGGAGTGGAGTAAGTGGTCGGCCTGCAGCACCGAGTGCGCCCACTGGCGCAGCCGCGAGTGCATGGCGCCCCCGCCCCAGAACGGAGGCCGCGACTGCAGTGGGACGCTGCTGGACTCCAAGAACTGCACGGATGGGCTGTGCGTGCACAGTGAGTCGTGGGCAAGGAGGGCCCCGGGTGGGGACTCGAGCCTGTGAGGGCCCCCACCCAGCCCCAGGCCTGGGTGCCCAGCCTGCGGTGCCATAGCCCTCAGCGCCTCCGCCCAGCCACCATATCGACCATTTCATCTCACCCTTCCCCTCCACCTTCTCTGCCACTTTTTCCCATCACCTGTGTCATTGTCTCTCCCTTTATTTCCCTCGACAGATAAGAAAACTCTAAGCGACCCCAACAGCCACCGTAAGTCCCCTCTCATGGCTGTCCTCTTTCCTCTGAGGGTCCCTGGTTCTCCTTGGCTGGCTCTTCCCAGGGGTGGGGCACAGAGCAGGGAGAGCTGAGGGTGCCCCTATTCCAGCCCCCCCGGCGTCCCCCTGCACCAAACACTGCATGTATCTGCATCCTCCTTCGTGGACAGACAAGCAGACCTTTGACTGACAGAAAGGCCCGAGGATACCCTGCTGGCCCTCCTGTTACAGGAGAGGAAACTGAGTCTCAGAGAGGAGAAGGGACTTGCCAAAGACCCAGCCAGGAAGTGGCAGAGCCAGGATTTGAAACCAAGTATTTTTGCTGCCAGAGCCGGTGCTTGTAACCCTCTGCCCTTGACCTTCCCCCTGGGGACAGGGTCAGGGGCTGCGCCATGCCAGTCCATCCCAGTGCCCCTCACTGTACCCCTAGTGGCTGGGCCAAGCCCCCTAAGTTATCTGTGATGCCCACTGTCCTGCACTGGAACAGTAACGCCACTTAGGCAGATGGGCCTGTGGTGATTAAATCACAATTCCCAGATAATTCTGGTATCCCAAATCAGAGTGAGGCACTCAGCCCCACTCACTGAGGGGCTGGCTAGTGACTGGTTGGAGAGTACCAATCACCAGACAAGTGGCTTCAGTGTTAGAAAGGACATCAGGAGGCAGAGCCAGGCCCGGGAGCCATTTCTCTGCTGAGTCAACAGTTTCCAGAGATGCAAGATACCCATCTCCGAGGGGTCCGAGGGGAGCCCATGAGGGCTGCTGAGGAGAGAACCAGGACAGACAGAGGTCGGAAGTGGGCAGACATCCAATGGGCTGCAACTCACGCCCTACCTTGCTGAACAGCTCATGCAGACCTCAGAGGCAGGAGCTTGGAGGACTCCAGGCAGGGGAAGCAGGTCTCTTTCTCCGAGGGCCCCCCAGAGAGAGAGAGAGAGAGAGTGGACAGGTGCTTCCTGGAGCTCCCAAAGGAGGCAATGGGAAGGCCAGCCATGTTGGCGGCTGCCGTCTTGGCCCTGCTTGAGCTCTCCAGTATGGTAGCCATGAGCCACATGTGGCTGATTAAACTCATTTTAACTTAATGAACATTAAATAAATTTAAAAATTCATCTGTACTGGCCACATTTCAGTTATTCAGCAACCACACAGGGCTGCAGACAGGGCAGCATAGACCTAGAATATTCCATCACCCTAGAAAGTTCTGTTGGACAGCCCTACTTTGGCCCCTGCTTCTTTGACCTTGACACTTTCTGCTTGGCCATGTCTGTCTGTGGGAGGGAAGTGTAGCCATGGGTTGCCTCCCTGGCCCCATCCTCCCCCCATCTGCTCATCTCCTTCCCACCCCATCACTGTGCATCTCATTCCTATCACCTCCCCCTCACCTCCCACCTCCCAGCATGGAATGGAGGATGAGCTTGGAACAGCTATTACAGAGATATCTGGGAGCCAGGACCTATGGTCCTGTGGGAATTGCCACAGGCTCAGAGTGTCGTTTAAGTCTGTAGTTTAAGTCCCAGCTCTGTTAGGACAGATTATGTAGCCCTGGTGTCTCTGAGCCATACAGACCCCGGGCTTCTCCTCATGGTGAGCAATGAATGAGTTAACTCCTGGGCATGGGCATGCTTGTTCTTTGGCCTCTCATTGCCACAACTAGGAGGGCAGAGGGCAGGATCCTGAGCCCATTTGTCCCATGAAGAGACAGACGCTGAGGGCGGCTGAGGTCTCCAGCTTGCCCTGGAGGAGCTCAGACGAGAATTCAACACCACTCTAGTCGGCCCCATGCCCTGCCCTCCCTAGAGACCCCTGGCTCCCCCAGGGCGTGGCTTCTGTGCTGCCCTGACTCAAGTGGCTCTCCTGTCCTTACAGTGCTGGAGCCCTCGGGGGATGTGGCGCTGTATGCAGGCCTCGTGGTGGCTGTCTGCGTGGTCGTGGCCATCCTCATGGTGGTGGGAGTGGTAGTGTACCGCCGGAATTGCCGCGACTTTGACACTGACATCACTGACTCGTCCGCCGCCCTGACGGGGGGTTTTCACCCAGTCAACTTCAAGACCACGAGGCCCGGTAAGCACCCGAGGCTGTTGGGGGTGTGGGCAGAGATGGGGCAGCCAGACCAGAGTTGGGGCTCCTGACCCCTCCGGGGCCTTTCCAGAGTTTGCTCTGGGTGTGGATGGGAGAAATCCCAAGAAGGATGGGAGTGAGGCACCCAGGCTCCAGGTCCCCAAAGCTTCCTGCAGCAGACAACAAGGAGTCTTTCACGGCTGGACATTGGGGTGGGATTTTGCAACTGGAGGCTCCTGCCCAGAGCAGGGGTGGGGGCTGGACTAGGGAGGCACCGCTAGGTGTAATCAGAGCTCCCACCCCTGCAGGCAACCCGCAGCTCCTGCACCCACCTGTGCCTCCCGATCTGACAGCCAGCGCCGGTGTCTACCGTGGACCTGTGTATGCCCTACAGGACTCGGCCGACAAGATCCCCATGACCAACTCGCCCTTGCTGGACCCCCTGCCCAGCCTCAAGGTCAAGGTCTACAGCTCCAGCACCATGGGCTCGGGGCCAGGCCTGGCAGATGGGGCCGACCTGCTGGGAGTCCTGCCACCTGGGACGTACCCTGGCGATTTCACCCGGGACGCCCACTTCCTGCACTTGCGCGGCGCGGGCCTCGGCTCCCAGCAGCTCCCAGGCCTGCCCCGAGACCCGGGCAGCAGCGTCAGCGGCACCTTTGGCTGCCTGGGCGGCCGGCTCAGCATCCCCGGCACAGGTGGGCCCCCGTCCTGCTTGCCTGTCCACCTGGCCTAGGCACATCCTCTCTGGACTGTCCCCACACCCGCCCGGCAGAAGATGGGGCTTCCCTAATCCCATTTCATAGATGGGGAAAGTGAGACCCAGGGGAAGGAAATGACTATCAAATAGACATCTGATTGGAAGGCCTAGGGTTCAGGCCTGCCAGTGCCCTCACTGGGGCAGGGGAGCCTTGGGTCAGCCACACTCCATGACTCAGTTTCTCTACTAAGTGAAGGAGAACATCCCTGTGTCGTTCAGTAAGCCCAAAGAGCACTGTCCTAGTTTCTAGCTGCAGTGGGCAGGGGTGCCCATCTTAGGTCACCAAGCCAGCATCGACAGCTTCTCAGCATCCCACCCTGAGCGAGGGATGGAGCTGGCACTGGGACCTCCAAACCCCATCGCAGTGTCAGAGGCCCCTGTCTCGCTGGACAAGCCGGCTCTGTCAAGGCCCGGCCTCCCCTTGTATCCAGTCCCCAGACCCTCCCTCCCTACCCCTGGCCGGTGGCCACCTGGAGCTCAGGAGCTGCCTCTCTCTCCGGGCCCCAGGCTGGGGGCAGCCCCCCGCCCCCTGTTCTTCTAAGCCCCTGGACTCCGTGCTGACCTCTCTCTCCCCTAGGGGTCAGCCTGCTGGTGCCCAATGGAGCCATTCCTCAGGGCAAGTTCTACGAGATGTACCTACTTATCAACAAGGCAGAAAGCACCCTGTGAGTAGAGACCCAGCCCCGGACCACTGTCCTCTCTCTTCCTCCCTCCCACCTGCCCACATTGGGCTCTGGTATTCCCATCTCCCCTCTAAGCCTATCCTAAGCTGGATAGTCCTCCAGGGAAAACACTGGTTCTGCTGTGTCTACATTTAACACTTGCAAAACCAGCACCATGAATCATGAAACTGAAAGGCAGTTGGCAGACTGGCTACAAGTAGGACAAGGGGCTAAATAGCCTTACTATGTAAAGAGTTTTTATAGACCAATAAGAAAAACTAAACATCTCAGTATGAAAATGAGCAAAAGATATAAGCACATGATACACACACACACACACACACACACACACACGCAGTCAGTATGTTATGAGAAAACATACAATCTAATTTGTAGTCAAAGAAGACCAATGAATATAACCCTGAGATATGCTGGGAATTTTTTTTTTTTTTTTTGCTTAAGGAATTTGCAGGGATTTTTCAAACAGTAGTGCCCTCGTGCTGGCAAGGAGGTGGGATCCCTCTGAGGCATACTGGGGGGTGTACATCAGGACCAACTTTCTGGAGTGCACTTGAGCAACACCTGTCAGAACCTTCCAAGGGTACAGAAACTTTGCCAATTCAGGCCAAGAGTTTCAAGCTGTGAGAATCTTGTGGAGGAATAGCAAAACTCTGGACACCTCCTCAAGGCCATTTTCTCTGCCTCCTTTGTCCCCATGACCTCTGGGAATGTGGAGCCCTGAGTAGCAGAGATCTGCCCTCCGCTGCCTGGGCTGTTTCTGTACCCTTGGAAGGTTTGACAGGTATCAGAAGATTGACTTGGGAGTCCAGCAGGACCCTGCACCCTGGCTGTCCTTGGGCCTCCCCTCACTACCTCCCCCTGCCCTCCATCCTGCCCCCAGCCCGCTTTCGGAAGGGACCCAGACAGTATTGAGCCCCTCAGTGACCTGTGGGCCCACTGGCCTCCTGCTGTGCCGCCCCGTCATCCTGACCGTGCCTCACTGTGCTGAAGTCAGCGCCAGCGACTGGATCTTCCAGCTCAAGACCCAGGCCCACCAGGGCCATTGGGAGGTGAGGAGACAGGGCGGAGCCCGCCCAGCCCTCCCAACCCACCCAGGAGGCCAGAGAAAGCTCCTTTCCTCCGGCCCAGCCTGGGCGACTGTGACCGTCTACCCCCCGGCAGGAGGTGGTGACCCTGGACGAGGAGACCCTGAACACGCCCTGCTACTGCCAGCTGGAGGCCAGGGCCTGCCACATCCTGCTGGACCAGCTGGGCACCTACGCGTTCACGGGCGAGTCCTACTCCCGCTCAGCCATCAAGCGGCTCCAGCTGGCCGTCTTCGCACCCGCCCTCTGCACCTCCCTGGAGTACAGCCTCCGTGTGTACTGTTTGGAGGACACACCCGTAGCGCTGAAGGTAGGGCTGGGCGCCAGCTGCGTGGTCCCTACTGGCATCCCCACTCCCAGGATGTGGCCCCGCACCCTCCCCCCACCAGCCCTGTTCAGCCACGCATGCATCCCTCACACACTGAGATGGGGTCAGACCTTCCAGGTACAGAAATGAATCGGGTGCAGGGCCTGCCTGCCCGCTGAGCTCCACCAGGTTAGGGGTAGAAGCAGATCAATGAGGGCTCCGTGGGCGGACGGAGGGACTCAGGGTGGGGGAGGGGTCCTGAGAATGTGACAAGTCGGAGTCCTGGCAGAGAGTGAAGGGCATTCCACACAGGCAGAAGAGCTTATGAAAAGGCTGGGGTGTCGCTCAGGGTGACCGGAGGGTGCAGGGCATGTGCAGGTATGGGAGGACAGAGGAGGCGGCAAGGTTCAGCCTCCCAGAAGCCTCAGGAGCTTTGAGGTTCGTCCAGTGGGAAGGGAGATGCGCCGGGAAGACCCTGTTCACGGTGCTCTTTAGAAAGCCCCTGTGACTGCACTGGGGGTGGCTGCATGAGAGGCGAGTTGGCTGTTGGGAAGCTGGGGTGGGCCCGAGGCCACTAGCAGTGGCAGTGTCCAGGAGAGGCGGGGCTGGACGCTGTGTTTCGTCCATGTAGTGGAAGAACCAGTGATGGGCAGGCTCGGTGGGGGAAGGGAGGGGTCAGGCTTGGAGTGTATGCAAGAGAATGGACGGGATGCCCCTAAGAGAGGGCTGGACCTGTGGCAGGGGACAGAAGGGAAGAAAGGTGAGGGGATCAGACTTTCAGCAGCCCCCTCCTCCGACCTAAAGCCCCTGCCCGCTTCTCCCAGGCCCTCCCCCAGCCCCAGGATCTCAGCCTCATCCTGACATAACACTGGAAGCGCACAGACACTGGGCCCTGCGGGAACCCCTCCAGCTCCATCCTTCCATCCTCCTCCCCTGCTTTGTGGTCCCATCCAGCCAGCCTCGTAGGCTGAGCCCAAACTCCACATTGCAGACAACAGAGGAGAAAAGCCCCATGGGAAAGTGAGCATCCCCTGCTGGAGCAGCGCTGGCCTGAAGTTCCAGGAGGCCTGTAATGGGTGGGAGGTCCCGGGGAGTGCTCTTGCAGCTGGCTCTCCTGGTCCTGGGGCATTGGCTAACATCCAGCTAGTAGTGTGGAGCTCAAGAGAGAAGTTGCTAGATTTCAGCCTGATGGCATTACTTGTGTATTCAACCCCCACCTATTATCCCTCCATCCATCCATCTATCTATCCACCTGTTCATCCACGTATCTATCCGTTCATCCATCCATCCCTCCACCCACCCTCCATGCATCCATCTACCATCCACACATCCATTCACTATCCACTCGTCTGTTCATCTGCCATCCATCCATCTATCCATCCATTCACCCCTCATCCATTTACCTATGTGTTATTCATTCACCCGTCCACCCACCATCCATCCATCTATTCACCACAATGCATCCATCCATCTATCCATCCATCCGTCCGTCCACCATCCATCCACCATCCATCTATCCATCCGCCATCCTTCTATCCACCCACCATCCATCATCCATCTATCCATCCATTTATCCACCATTCAAACATCCATCTACCCCTCATCTATCTATCCACCCATCCACCATCCATCCACCATCCGTCCATCCACCCACCATCCATCCATCCATCCATCCATCCACCATCCACTCATTCATCCACCATCCATCCATCCACTATCCATCCATCTACCTACCCACCATCCATCCATCCACCCACCATCCATCTATTCATCTACCATCCACTCACCCATCCACTGTCCAGTCACCATGCACCTATCTATCCATTTGCCCACCATCCATCCACCTATCATTCATTCATTCTTTCATCCATCCACCCACCATCCATCATCCACCCACAATCCATCCATCCATCCGTCCATCCATCCACCATCCGTCTATCCATCCATCCACCCACTATCCATCTATCCATTCATTCAGCTATCCATCTGTCCATCCACCATCATCCATTCACCTTTATATTCATCTATCCATACACTCATTCAGTCAAAGCCCACCTGTCTACCCAGTCATCACCCCTCCATTCATTTATTTTTCCTTCCACCTGTCTTTCCATCCATCCATTTACCATCCATTCATCAGTTCATCTGTCTACATGCTCATTAGTCAACAGCCCATCTGTCTATCCAGTCATCACCCTTCCATCCATTTATCTTTCCTTTCATCTGTCTTTTTATCCATCCATCCACTATCCATCTATTCATCCATTTGTCCATTTATCTACCATCTGTCCATCCATCCATCAGTCTATCTAGCATCCGGTCATCTACAGATCCTTTCATCTATCTATCTGTCCCACTGTCTGTCCATCTAGCTGCCATCCATTCATCTATCCATACCATAAACCCTCTATGGGCACCTGCCAAATGCCCAGTCCCTGCCCCAGCTCGAGTGCTCAAGTGGGTCCTAATGTGCAGCAGGAGAGGGCCCACTGGCCAAGTATGATGGACTCTCCCTGCCCCTTGCCCCTGCCCACAGGAGGTACTAGAGCTGGAGCGGACTCTGGGCGGCTACCTGGTGGAGGAGCCAAAGACCCTGCTGTTTAAGGACAGTTACCACAACCTGCGCCTCTCTCTCCACGACCTTCCCCATGCCCACTGGAGGAGCAAGCTACTGGCCAAGTACCAGGTGAGGGCTGCCCGGGAAAGACCAGCTCCCCCTCCTGGGCCTGCCTCCTCCCTCTGCCTGTAGTCTTGCCCTCCCTGGTGTCTCTCGCTGCTGTCTCTGTCTCCCTCCCAGCAGTCCCCATGCTCCTAGCCCTCCTCGGGCACTTCCCCAAATTCAGTGCCATTGACGGCAACACTCACACTTCCACCCTTTTACACAATCCCACGCATAAGTCCCTAAGCTCTCCATGCTCATGGAGGCCTTGCTATCTCTCAGAGCGTACACACTTAGCAGGCTGCCCATGCTAGTCTGATGGCCACAGCCTGCTACCCACCATGCAGCGTGAGGTACCATTGAGTCCATGCGGCTTCCCAGACCCAGACACATGCTCACCCACACATGCCTTTCCGCCCCACGTGCCTCCTTCTCAGCTCCCTCCTGGAACCAAGAGCCTGACATGGCCTCACCCTCCCCTTGGCTCCTGGCCCTCCCTGCTGCTCCCAGCTCTCCCTGTGGTTCCCAGCCCTCCCTGAAACCCCCAACCCTCTCTGCATTCCACAGCCCTCCCTGTGGCCCCAGCCCTCCCTGCGGCCCTACATCCCACCTGTGCCTCCATTCCCCATGAAGGCCGGGTAGGCTGGCCTGTCCTGTTCATGACGCCCTCCTCCCACAGGAAATCCCCTTCTGCCACATCTGGAGTGGCAGCCAGAAGGCTCTGCACTGCACTTTCACCCTGGAGAGGCACAGCCTGGCCTCCACGGAGTTCTCTTGCAAGATCTGCGTGCGCCAGGTGGAGGGGGAGGGCCAGATCTTCCAGCTGCACACCACGCTGGCGGAGGTGAGGGCCGAGGACAACCCAGGGAGGCGGGGCTGGGACCGCAGCAGACCCCCGGGCTTCCTCTATCTGGATGGAAGTGCCACTTCCCACAACCATTACTGCGTGCCATCCCCATGCTTGATGCATGCCAGGTGACGGCATTCTGTCACTAAAACTTCACGAGCACCGGGAGACAGACAAGATAGGTGTGATCCCTGAACGGGAGGTGAGGAAGTGGGTTTCAAAAAGGGCAGGTATTTGCACATGGGACACCAGTGGTAAGACTGGATTTGAGCCCAGGTCGATGCCACGGCCAGGCCTGTGACTCTCATTTGAGGTTGAAAACCCAGACCCCCCTCCCCGCCTCGCCAGTGCTGCATCTTCTTCTTGGGGCAGTGGAAGGAGCACTGGACATAGGTGGGGACCCAGCTCTGCCACTAGATGGTATGTGACCATGGGCAGGTCACTTCCCCTTCTAGACTTCATTTTCCACGTCTGTAGAAATGGGCCCGTGTGGATTAGACTGTGCCGGGGTTCCTCGGGGCCTCCGTACTATGAGGCTACATCAGCCTCTGCCTGGAGAGTGAGTTAGCATGGTGCACGCCCTGAGGGATGAGGACAGCCACAAAGGCTTTGCCCTGGGGAACCGACCCTCAGGGAGGGCAGGTCCTTGCCTGAGCAACTTGCCTCAAGGAAGTAGGGGTGACTCAAGCCTCAGTGAGCACACAGGCTCAGGGCAGGGAGGCTGGAGGGGCAGAGGCCCGGTACTGTGCCCCTCACCCTCACTCCCCACTCTTCCAGACGCCGGCTGGCTCCCTGGACGCCCTCTGCTCTGCCCCTGGCAGTGCCGCCACCACCCAGCTGGGACCCTATGCCTTCAAGATCCCGCTCTCCATCCGCCAAAAGATATGCAACAGCCTTGATGCCCCCAACTCGCGGGGCAATGACTGGCGGATGTTGGCGCAGAAGCTCTCCGTGGACCGGTGAGTGCCCAAACCACAGCCCAGCTCACCCGCCTTTGTCCTCAAGGCCGGGCAGGGGCAGCGGGCAGGCGGCCAGACCTCCCAGGACCGGCTCCTGGCTCGGTTGCTTGTTACCCTCACCCACGGGAGGTCAGGAGCTCAGGTCTGCATGGACTGAATCTGAGGATGCTATTCCCTTAAAGAGCAACATGCTCAGAGCATTTGCCAGTGAGCCACGCAGACGCTAAGGGAATACCACCCTCTCCCGCCCTACTGACACTCCTCCTGCCCATCTCATGGGATGGCGGGAGACTCAGATAAAGCCAGGCTCCAGTGAGGTGAGGTCACCCAGGACAGAGCAGAGGCTCCGGAAATGCGTTGAATGACAGCACACCCCCCGGCCGGGGGACTCTTGGAGAACTTCAAATGCTGGATAAATATGGCGACAATGACAGTATTGTACTTATTGGAAAAATGATTAATAAATCTGCTTTGAGCAGATGTAGAGATAAGATCACTTGCTGAAATGGGCAAGGTTTACAAAGATGGCTGGGGCTTTGTTCCTACTCCCAGAGGAGTTCACAGGGCAGGATCAGCCAGGAGCAAGGTGGGAGGAAGAAGAGAGATCAGTATGCTGGGTTTGGACAGTTTCTCTTGTGTCCAGATAAGAAATAGGATGATGGGCTGGGTGCAATGGTGGCTCATGCCTGTAATCCCAACACTTTGGGAGGCTGAGTTGGGAGAATTGCTTGAGGCCAGGAGTTTGAGAGCAGCCTGGACAACATAGCAAGACTCCCATCTCTACAAAAAATAAGTACATAAATAATAAATATATAACAATGATGATGTGTGGGGTGTCAACACTAGAGACATCCCTAGACCCTCCCTTTACGTGATTCTGGATCTTATCTGCAACTTTGGGAGGTGGTATCATTCCCATTTTGAAGATGAGGAGACAGACTCAGAGAGGTGCTCGGCCTTGCCCAGAGTCAGGCAGGAGCCAGGATTCAGACCCCAAGGCTGTGGGATCCCCTGTGCACCCTTCTGTCCCCCGCACGTTTCTGGGAGGTGCTGAGTGCTTGGGGACTTCAGTGCCCCTCCTTCCCTCCGCCAGGTACCTGAATTACTTTGCCACCAAAGCAAGCCCCACGGGCGTGATCTTGGACCTCTGGGAAGCTCTGCAGCAGGACGACGGAGACCTCAACAGCCTGGCCAGTGCCTTGGAGGAGATGGGCAAGAGTGAGATGCTGGTGGCCGTGGCCACCGACGGGGACTGCTGAGCCGCCGGGAGCCATGGGCTGCCAGGGACTGGCAGGAGGCGGGCACAGGGAGACCTAGGGCAGCCTCCAGATTGGCATGTCCAGCCTCCACTGCCCCTCAGCTCACAGCCAGAGTTGCGCCCTCCTCCTCCTCCTCTTCCCCCTGCCCCAACCCCAGACCACGACCAGCCTTAGCAAATCCACATGCTCTGTTGTTCAAGGGCCCCGTTTTCCTTCCCCAGCTCTGCCGTCTCTCTCCTGGCCTCAGGCTTCCATGCAGGAACCCGGTGGGCTGAGGCCTCTGGAGGCAGTCAGGGGGCAAGGAGGCGGCCTTCCCTCCACCCACCCCCATGGCCCGCTTTCCCGGGCTCTGTCCGTTCTGGTTCCAGGCTTCCTCTTCTTCCTGGGTTGCCGCCTCCTCCGTCCTCCCCAGCCCCTTCCTCTCTCACCCCGTTTTCCTCTTTGAAGAGTCAAGTACAATTCAGACAAACTGCTTTCTCCCGTCCAAAACAGAAAGGAAAAGGAAAGCCAGCTTCAGACTGCTAGTCAGGCTCCAAGAAGAAGAAAAACACCGACACCACAAGGGAAAAGAAAATCCCAGTTTCTTAGGAAACGCACATGATTTATTATCCAGATATTTGGATAAGTCCTTTTTAAGAAAAAAAAAAAAAAGAAAATGAAAACAACACAAAAAAATTAGAAAATTCTTTTCTTGAGTGTGGATGAGAGTGGGTGTGCTGGTGATGCTGTCCAGCAATGAGTGTGAGTGTGTGCGTGTGTGTGTGTGTGAGAATGTGAGCGTGTCAGGGAGAGAGAGACTGAACAGGGGCTACTTTGCTGCTAATGAATACGTCTTGAACTAAATTCTGGCTTTCAAGGCCTCAGTTTTCCCAGTTGTGCATGGAGTGGGTCAGAAAGGGTTTTAGTCATGGTACCAAGTTTTCCCCTGAAATCTTATGTAAGCAAATGCCAAGGAACCCTGAGCCCTGGAGTGGGCAGGTTCTCCCTTCTGTAGCCCCCGGCAGATGCCCCTGGGCTCTGGGGAGTCTGGATGAAGAGGCACTGGGAGGGAAAACCAGGGCCCATCGGGCCAGCGGGAGCCAGGGAGGTTGCTCTGGTCTGTCATCATCTGGTGGCTTTTGGAAAGGGAGTGTGACCCAGAAGTGGGGCTCAAGCAGGGATCCGAAGTGGGGGAGAGGGGGGATGCCCCTATCCCCTCCCCAACCCAGCAGCCGCTAGACCGGAGAGTCGGGGCACAGTGGCACTCTCTCAATGCCCAGAATCCACCTCCCAGCCTCATTTTTTCCTTCTGAAGAGACAAGGGATGGATAAGAAGGCCTCTGGCTACAGAGGCTTCAGCCCCCAGCCTCCCTGCAGTGTGGGAGGAGGGAGACAGGAGCCCTGGCTGTGCTGTTCAGTCGGGAGTAGAGGGGGCAGGTGGCTGCCGGTTTGTCCATCTCTGACCTCCACAAGCCTTTCCCTCAGCCCTCTCACCCACCCTCTATGATCTGGGAGATCTGAAATAACCTCTCTGAATGGGCAGGGTGTCAGGGCAGAGGGGCCGGCACACATCACTCCCACCCATCCCATTCCAGATTGTTCCAAAGGCCCTGAGTGGCGGGATGCAGCTGGCTGGCAGTGACTAGGCCAGGGCCTTGTAGCTGGCACTGGAGCCTCCTTAAAGGCTGCTCTCTCTTGGCACTGAGGCAAAGCCAGTGCCAGCTTCCCCGCCAGCTTCAGGCGCTGACACCAGGGCCGGTCCTAGCAGTCTCAACACATCCTGGCCTTTGAAAGTGTGGTCTCCCTAGAGAAGAGCAGATTTCAGGGCTGCAGTCCCAGCCAGTGTCCCCAGCCTGGCTTCCCTGCCGGGGGCTCAGTGGCTCCTGGGGCCTCTCACCACCCACAGCCTCCCTAGGGTGGGGGTTAGCTGGGGGCGGACAAGGGCTTGCCTGCAGGTTGGCTGCTGAGGAACCAGGCCTGCACCAGGTGGATGTGTGCCTGTGAAGATGCTCAGACGAAGGCAGAAACCAAAAGGTATCTGTCCCCACAGGCCCAGTCTTGCTGGCCACTGGTAGCCCGTGCACATGTGTAGGCCTCTGTCATGGCTTTGAGGGCAACCTGCCCAGGCTAGACCACACATGTGCCATGACAGGCATTCCTGGTGCTAGTCCCTGGGGGGGCTCTAAAATGCCACCTGCTGTCTGTGAGTCCCAAGACCAGGAATCGAGTTCCTGCTTTGACATTAGACTGCTGTGTGCCCTCAGACATAACCCTGGCTTCTCTGAGCCTGGGTGTCCCTGCACCCAGGAGGCTGTTGTCTGAGGCCCTTTGGGCTCTGACATTCTGCTCTGGGTTTCTGGAGGGAACCCCTGTGGAGAGAAGTCTGGTGGTCTGCCGAGTCCTCGCTCCCTGTCCTTGTCTTCCCCCTCCACTCCCTAAGAGGCCGGCTTGCTCAGTCCCCAAGAAGGGAGCTCGGCTGATGAGGCCTAGCCAGCCACCTGGGTGCAGGTTACCCCCTGAGCAATCTGACTTCCAGAAACTGTGTGCCATGTCCCGGAGACAGACCAATTGGCCAGAGCCTCCTGGGAGGGTTCAGACTGCCCAGCTTTATAAGAAAAGCCCAGAGTGGGCTGGTGGACCCCCTGCATCTTGCCCAGGCTGCTGTGACACATCCCAAGCGGCCCACCTCTCTGATGTGGACTCCGGAGGCTGCCCCACGGGACTGCACCTAAAGAGTAGCAGGTGAGCCCTGGGCTCGCTGGGGCCTGCACGCGGCGTTTACGTCTCTCTCATCTCTGGTGCGTGTGTGTGTGCGTGTGGTGTGCACACCTGTGCTCTCCTCCACAGACACATCAGAGTGCCCCTCCGGGAACACGTGCACATGTCTCGCCTGCAGGTGGATGTGTGCTGCTCTGCTTCCTGGGTCTGGGTTTCTGGAGGCCGGTGTGCCTGTTCTCTGCCCCTCCCCCCGAGCCCACAGGGTCAGTGTATCTTCCACGTGCCTCTCTGCTGCCTTCTCTCAAGGTCCCAGGCTCCAGGGCTTGGGGGCAGGGGTCCTCTGGGAGTACAGGGGACCCTCCTCATCTCCTGGACTGCCCACGGCCCTCTGGTCCTGCTCCCCAGCTCCCAGGCAGCTGAGCCGGGTACCTTAGCAGACCCTCGAAGGGGAGGTGACCAGGAGCTTGGGTGCAGGAAGCAGCCCTCCTGGGAGCCAAGGGCTGGCCTTCCTGCCTGGGCCATGGACATGGTTACATGCCCAGGGGGTGCAGGCCCCCAGGGCTGGCCCCCAGTCCCACCTCTGTTTATTCTGTAAACTACAACCTGTAAATAACCTTTAGCATTCCTATTGTAACAAAATTAATTTTTATGAAATAAATTATATTTCCTAGCCTAATTAAAAATCCAGGTTGTATCCTGCTGTTTTATTGACTGTCTTTCCTCTGGCAATTGGAAAGCAATTGGGAATGACCGTGTTGTTCTCAAAATTCCACGGAGGGTGCAGCTGTCACTCTCAGGTCAGAGCTCTCTGAGCCACTGGAGATGGTCAAAGCCAACTCCTCATTCTACAGAAGGGAAAACTGGCCCAGAGAGGGATAAAGACTTCCCTACAGTCACACAACAAGGCAGAGCCCATGCTCCATCCAGATGCCGGTCCCGACTCACCGGTGGGTCAGTGCTCTCATCGCATAAGCACTCATGGAATCTGTTCGGGAGTTCGGAGCCCTCACCTGGGACCTAAGACTATTGTGCAGGCCGAAAGGGGAGTATGGTGAGTTGGGATCATGTGACTTTGGGCCCAGGGCAGCCATGCATGGTAGGGCAGATTACGCACTGAGCACGAGTACCACATATAAATATAAGAGGGCAGGTGAGCTTCCAAGGGACAGGTGGGATATATGAGCTTCCCACATCTATTGTAGGATTGTGTAGTCACTAAGAGAGGTTTCCAGCAGATGGCAGTGCAGGGTCTTGTTCTAACAACCACTGAGGTGTTAACTTTTCCCACAGATGCAGATGTCTTGAGGAGGGAGGGCCCCTTCTTCTAATGTACACGAAGGTGCTGTGAGACTGGCAGCGGCCCCATTTCAGCTGGTCCCCTCTGCCCTGTGGACATAGGTCTCCCTGTGTGAGGTGAGTCTGGACCCAGCATTTTCTGGCATGTTTGCCTGCTCCGTGAGCGGATTCTGTGGCCGCTTCAGTCTGGCTCCATCCTCAACACTCACGTTGCCCATCGGCATGTTAAAGGCACTAAGAAGCCCTGAATAAAGTTGTTCTGCTCATATATTAACACGAGGGCCCTGGATGATTTGGCCTTGGAACCCGTCCAACCTCTTTACACCCTGGAGTTTGGGGGCCAACAGGCCCTGGGGCGTGTGACTCTGGGGTCTGGCATAGAGAGTTCTGGTCTGCAAAGTAGGGGCCCTGAGTTCTAGTCTTGGTGCTGTGCAGTCACTGTCCCTTCCTAGCCTCAGTTTCCCCATCTGTGAAATGTGGGACTGAGACCTGCTGTTCTGTAAGAGCCTGCTAGCTGGAGTAGTTCTGTGATTTGGGGGTCTCCTCTCTAGTTCCTACCCCTGGGACACCCCTTCCTGTCCCAGGCGCAGGGGTGGAGGAGGGGAAGTCAGTAAGGCAGAAGATGGGCTGGTTCGAACCCTGGGGCTGTACAGTGAGGCCTGGAGCTGACATGTGAGCCC